CTGCTGGGCTCCAGCGATCCTTCTGCCTCAGCCTTCCAAGTAGCTGGAACTACAGGCATGCGCAACCACGCCCGGCTGATGTTTTGATTTATTGTAGAGATGAGGTCTCGCTGCCCAGGTGGGTCTCGAACCCATGGGCTCAGGCAATCCACTCACCTCAGCCTCCCAAAGGCACAGGATTACAGGCTGAGCCACCGAGCCTGGATAGACCCTGCTTTTGGTTTTTTCTTCGTTGGAGTCTCACTCTGTCACCCAGGCTGGAGTGCAGTGGCATGCTCACTGCTACTACAGCCTTGACCTGCTGGACACAGGCGATTGATCTTTCCACCTCAGCCTTCCAAGTAGTTGGAACTACAGGTGTGTGCCACCATGACCAACTAATTTTTTGATTTATTGTAGAGACAAGGCCTCACCAAGTTGCCCAGGCTGGTCTCGAACCCCTAGGCTCAGGCAATCTTCTGGGCTCAGCCTCCCAAATTGCTGGGATTACAGGCTTGAGCCACCATGCCCGGCAAGGGCTCTACTTTTCTCAACCACCCATATCAGTCTACTCCTTGAGCTTTGACCTTTACTATAGGATTTTCTAGGAGACTTTTATTCAAAAGTCCTGCCTAGTGGACGGGGTCACTCCCTCATTTAGATCAGGGCCCTTTTATTTGTCACAGCTCTGGTCCCACAGGGTCTTGAGTAAGTGAATTTCCCAATTCCTAAACAATAGCAGTAACAATAACAATAGCAATAGTAACAAAAACATAATAACAGCATTTGCGTATGTGTACTGATTTGCAGTTTATAAAATGTTTTCACCAGCTGTGTATCAACAACCCTGAGAAATAACCTACTTCACAGACAGGGAGATCAAAGAGAGCAAGCACCTTGCCCAGGGACATAATGTTTGGGGACGTTATGATAGTCTGGTCAAGTTCACAGACTCTGGAGTCAGACTACCTAATTTCAAATCATGAGTCTTCTTGGCCAACTTATATAAGCACTCAAAACGTCAGTTTGCCCATCTGTAAAATGAGCACAATGGAAGAGAATCCACCTAATAAGATTCTCTGTACATCAATGGGCTCGGCCTGTGCCTAAGGAAATGCCAACCCCTGACCCTCTAGCCACGGTTAAGAAGGGTGTGGCAGAGAATGGGAGTCTTTCTCTGCCGAGGCTGGGCAGGGCCGGGCTGTGGCCAGCTACAGCGACCAACTCACCAAGAACGATGGCGAGCATCTGAGTGGCTTTCTTCTCCTTCTGCTGGGAGAGCTTCCTACGGCTCATGGTCTTGAGCGAGGTCCGGGTTTTGCCATTGGGCATGGTCTGGATCTCAAAGATCTTGGCAATCTTGGGGTGGTCTTTGGCGTGCCCATTCTTCTCTGGTTTGGCGGGGCTGTCAGGAGTGCTGTGGAGACCATGGTGGGACGGGTCGGGGAGAGTCAGCTGGTGGTGGCTGGGCGGGATGGGGCTGTACCGGGTTCTCTCGGGGGGGCTGGTGCTGGAGAGCATCTCCATCTCCAGCTCCTGGGCTCGCCGGGCAGCCTCCTGCACCAGAGGCAGAGAGTGCTGGGTAAAGCCACGCCGGTTCCTGGGCATCAGCCACCCAGCCTCAGCGACCCTCCCTGTCCCCCTCTGGAGACCCCTGCAAGCCCCACAGGGTCACCCTGCCAGAGAGGCAAAGAGGATGATTGCTGGTGGGAGAAGGCAGGGTCTGTCTGGTACGAGACCCAGGAGCCATGGCAGTTGTCCCTGACCCCCTGTCCACAGCAATCCCCATGTAGCCTCAGTACCCCCAACCGTCCTATGTGGACTCCATACTGGGGACGTCTCTCTCATGACCTGAACAACACTTACTGAGAGTCAGCTAAGTGCCAGGCGCCACACCTGGTGTAAACAGTGGATGACATTCAGTCCTGCCTCCGGGACTCAAATTCTAACAGCATGGAGGGCACCCCCTCTCGGTCTCCCTGCCAGGCTATCACAAGGGGCTTCCTGCTTCATGGCCACCTGCACCATCATGCACATGTGGATGCCATATTCTCCTGACTAGGATGATCCAGGTGCCAAGGGGCTGACCCCTGGGGCTCCCTTCATCCCGGCTGGGCTGACCTGGAGGACCCTGGCATGGATACCCTCATGGCTTCTGGGTTCTTTCCTCAGGCTCGCCAGTTTGAGGCCTTGGAGGTCTTAGCCTGAGCCTCCAAAATGCAGCCTCATGATGTGGCCTGGCAGTATAACTTGGCCTGACCCTTAGGCCCTGCTTTGGTTCCTGCTTCCTAAACCGCTCCTCGGTCCTACCCTTTTAGTGCAGGTGAATAATGGGAACTCTGCTTCCCAAGGACATCTGCCCTGGACGTTGTGTGTGGCCCTCTGTGGGTTCCCAGGCCCGGTCTTCCGTCCAGCTAGGGGATGAAACACCTGCTCCTTGGTCCCTGGAACGCTATCACCAGGCAGAGCCTGGGGTCTGTTGTGATCCTGCATTCCTGGGCTCTACTTACAGGCTGTGCTTCACCGCTAGTCCCTGTGGGGTTCTGCTCTGTCCTCCCCGACTCCTGGCCTCCAGCCCCAGAACCTGCCTGTCCACAGGCAGCATGTGCCAGTGGAAACAACACGGGCGTGGATTCAGAGCCACACAAATCTGGGCTTAAATATGTGTTGTGTCACCAACTGGCTATTGAGACTTGGGTGAGTTACCTGACCTCTCTGAGCCTCTGTTTCCTCTTCTGTGAATTGAAGATCGATTCGATCAATAAGGCTTACCTCCCAGGGCTGTACTGAGGATTTGATGGCTAATAGGAATTTGACGGATGTCTGAGAAATGGGAATAGCCATTATTATCAATCGTGCTATGCGGTTATGGCCAAGTCCTTTCTCCCAACCGTTTCCTTGTTCCACTCCTGCTTGGAGGTGTGCACGGTGAGTCTGCCCTCAGCCAAGGCAAAGGAGAGGATGCTGGGAGGTGCTTCTCCCTTGGACCAGCTGCTGAGGCCTCAGAGTCATGGCTGGCGGGCCTCTCTGCAGGCAGGCTCTGGGTCCCTGACCTGAGCACTTACCACTCTCCGCCTGTTCACTGGGAAACTCCCATTAGACTTCATGATAACGGAGTAGAGCTTCATATCCTCAGGGTGAGTACAGTTGCCCTGTGGAGTGAGCCAGCACATGGGTCACACGAGGTGGCGAGGGGGCAGGGGCGGGGGAGACCCAAGGTGGAGTAGTCCATGGAGAACTCAGATGGACAGAGGGGCTCAGAGGTCAGGAGGGCGGGGCCGTGGGAGGCAGTCGGGGCAAGGACCAAGGTTGGTAAGGAGAGGAGAAGAGGTGAGCAGGAAGAAGGACAATAGGACCCTGATTTTTACACCTGCTGAGGGCCTGGCGCCATGCGAGGCACGCTCATGTCTCTTTTCAGAGGGAATCCTCAAGACTGCCCTGTGAGGCTGGTGTTATGATTCCCATTTAACAGACGAGGAAACGGAAGCTCAGAGAAGTTAAGCAACTTGCTCAAGTTCACTCAACAAAAAAGTGGCAGTGCCAGGAACTGAACCTGATGCATCTAACCCAAAGCTCCTCTTCCGTCCATGCCCACGTATCTTCCTTGGGAGGGGCTGGGGAGAGGGAAGGATTCACAAGACAGAAGGTGGGACAAAGGAGGTGAGCATGGGGGGAAGACAGAGAGTGTGGATGGTAAAGGAAATAGAGTGGAGGAGTCACAGGGAGGGAAGAGGGGACAAAGAAACCAGGATGGAGAAAGGAAAGGCCAAGGAAAGAGGAAGCCAGGAGTCCAGGGAGGTACCAAGCAGGCGACGCTGCACTCAGCTGGAAAGACTTCCAAGCCAAGGCTCCGCCCCGTTGGCGTGCACTGTGGCCCCCACCTCCCCCGTCTGGAGATCCAGACCCTCCTCGCCTGAGGACCACGCCTTCCACATCTGCCCTTGCCCCGCCCCTTGGTGCTCCTGCAGCCTGGACCTCAGCCTCACAGCAGTGTCCCAAGCCCCCACCTGAGCACAGGTCGAGCCCCTTGGGTCAGGGTAAGGTGGGGACACTTGGAGGGGAGGAGGGGGTCTTGAGACCTTGAGTGGGGCCCTTAGGTTGGCCCGGAAAGCTCGGCTGCTGCGCTTGGTGTTGACCCGCTTGCGGCGTCGGCGGAGGACGATGTAGATCTTGATGTAGACCAGCAGGGTGACGATGAAGGGCACGTAGAAGGAGACAATGGAGGAGTAGACCACGAAGGCCGGGTTGGCGATGATGCACTCGTTCTGGTCTGGGGGAAGGAAAGCCCGGCGGGAGGGGCGTCAGTGGGCCCGCCGGGCCACAGCGCCGGTGCGCCCACTGACCTCTTTTGCAAGAACGGGGAGCAATTTTACAGAGACTGTGAATGTGACTAAGTGGTGAAGGGTGTTCAGCAATGTCAGATGCACATAAATGTGCAGCATGAATCCCAAAAACACAGCTGTGAGCAACAGCTAAACTGTGATTGACTGCTTCCAAGTTTTCCCGTGACTATTCCCTGGCTACCTGGTCATTAGTTTGGGTCATTTCTGAGTACAGGAGTCGAGCCAGAATATTCAGAAGAAATGACACAAAAAAATTATTTTAAAAGAATAGGCCAGTCGGCAGCCGTGTGGCTCAAGCCTGTAATCCCAGCACTTTGGGAGGCCAAGGCAAGAGGACTGCCTGAGCCCCAGGGTTCAAGACCAGCCTGGGCAACTTAGTAAGACCTCGTCTCTACAGTAAATCAAAAAATTAGCCGGGCATGGTAGCGTGCGCCTATAGTTCTGGCTACATGGAAAGCTGAGGCGGAAGAATCTCCTGGGCCCAGCGAGTTGATGCTGGGGTAGCCGTGAGTGTGCCACTGCACCCCAGCCTGGGCAACAGAGTGAGACTCTGACTCAAAAAATAAAAAAGAGTAAGTCACTATTTTAATATTGTCTGTAGGTTGGGGAGAGGTCTGCCACCTTTGAATTTCAGGAACAAGATAACTCTGCTGAACTCACCTGTGTTCTGATGTATTTCATATGTTTCTGTGCTTCCTTCCAGGTCTACCAGATATCTATTTCCTATCTCGGGGCCTTCTCAGATTAATCTAGGTATACTTAGCCCACCTCCCAGAATTCCTGCAACACATAGATCTTGTACCACCCATTTTCCAGGCTTTGTTGTATCCTGTGTTGTCTCTAGAGATGCACCTGCAATAGCTCTTGTCTCCCCGACGAAAAGAAGCACTATGCTGGCAGATGCTTTCTGTCTCCTATGTCTGAGATGCTCCTAAATCTACCTCCCACAGAAAGGGACACGTAGTCAGCTCGCCTTCAGTGGCCTCCCCTCACCCCATGTTTGTGTGTGTGCGCACACACACACACACACACACACACACACACACACAATTGGTGAGGCTGCTTCCATTTAATAAGCAAAGTTGATAATTGCCAGGCATCCTTCTGTGCCATTATCTCTGCCACTCATCCAGCCCCATTGTGTCCCGGCCTTTGTTTTTTCTCTGGCCCAAACTACAATCAAGAGTCGGACTTCGCCCTGGACACCCAGCCTGGCCTTGGCTCAGGGCAGAGAATAGGCCCCCACTGGGCCTCTGCCCATCTCTGTGCCAGGGGCTTAGCTCCCTCAGAGTCCTGTGCAGGAGCAGGGGCCCAGGCCCAGCTGAGCTCGGGGGCAAAGGCGGGACCCACCTGTGTTGTTGAGTCCGAAGAGGAGCGGGCAGGAGATGGTGAAGGACAGGACCCAGACGATGGCGATCATGACCGTGACCCGGCGCTTGGAGCTGTAGCGCGTGTTGTACAGCATAGGCATGGCCACCGCTGTGTACCTGCAAGGGGTGGGGGACCCTGAATCTGGGGTGCAGGCCCAGGGACCCCTCACTCCACAACATGCACACATCAGAGTCACTCCCACTCCTTGGGGCTGGACAGATGACCCACCCTGAGGCCTGCCTGATATACTGAGTCAATCCTCCCTTCTGTTCCCAAACTCAGACAGCGAGGACAGTTGGCAAAGCCCAATCACACACTTCATGGCTGGCCAGTTACTACTTGAGTCATATCTGTCATTCTAATGGCCCCACTTGGATTTTAGGCTTTCTGAGGGGCTATGACCTGGGTCTTGGCACCTTTGAAACTGTAGCCACTGCACCTGTACTGAGCACACAGAAGGTGGAAGTGTTTGTTGATGGACCAGTAGCCAGGCCAATCAGAACAAGGCTTGAGTCTCATTTAGCAGAAATGATGCCAAGTGGTTATAATCCTCCCTCACATTTCTTCACCCAGCACTTCTCCTTCAGTGACATTTCATCTTCCAAGGATGCCATGAGGGGAGCATGACCAGGGCCTCTGGGAGCCAGTGGCATGCTGTGCAAAGTAAAAGGCTCCAACCATACAGCTTAGCAAGGTGGGCACAGCCTGGGTCCCTCAGCCACATGAATAATTAGACACTGTAGCTTCCAAGGAAAGGCGTCACCATCATCAGTTTCTAGAAAATGAAACTGGGAGTTCTGAGAACTTCCACAATCTTTCCAAGGTGTTTAAGTAGGAAGTGATCAAGCTAGGGTTTCCATCAGAATTACATACTTTCCCTCTTTTTATTTTTATTTTTTGAGTCTCATTCTGTCACCTAGGCCAGAGTGCAGTGGCATGATCATGGCTCATCGCAGCCTCTACCTCCTGGGCTCAGGTGTTCCTTCTGCCTCAGCCTCCTGAGTAAGCTGGGACTACAGGCATGCACTTCCATGCCTGGCTAATTTTTTAAATGTTTTATAGAGATAAGGTCTTGCTATGATGCCTAGGCTGGTCTTGAACTCCTGGGCTCAAGCAAACTCCCTGCCCCAGTCTCCCAAAGTGCTGGGATTACAGGCATTAGCCACCATGCCCAGACTCATACTTTCCCTCTTATACCTGGGTCACTGTCTGGGTATCCTGGTAGCATCACTGTCCGTAGATTGCCTTTCTTTAGGGAATCTGTACCCTTCTAGTCAAACACACATGCATGCACACACACATGCATGTACTCACATGCACATGGACCCCCCACACACACAGCCAACCGCTTAGCATCACAGACAGCCTGACCCTGAGGCAAGGTGGGACAGCTGGAATGGTGAAAAGCCAGGGCAACCTCTCCCACCCTGGCTGGGCTCACCTGTCGATGCTGATGGCACACAGGTTCAAGATGCTTGCTGTGCACATCATGACGTCCAGAGTGACAAAGATGTCACAGTGAATCCTGCTGAATTTCCACTCGCCCACCACCTGGAGACAACACAGCACAATAGATGAACAGCAGGAGGGAGAGATGAGCCTAAGTCCTATAGCTAGTCCTCTAGGGCCAGGGGGGCCATGGGCTTAGAGGGCAATTGAGGGAGTCTTGTCTCTGGCTGGGGTCTGGGGGAGAAGGGGATAGCAAAGGGAGTGGTGTCCATGGGGTCTGACGCCCTTGCCCCTGGCCTCTCTCTTCCCATACACATACATTCTCTTTGGGTTTAGAACTGTGCTAGAAGAAAGACCACTGGCTTACACACTGGGTGCCTCAACTTAGAACCTTAATGTGTAGGTCTTTGCATGATCACCCTGTGAGTCCCATGTTTTCTGAGATTCTGGGCATCCCTTCATCACAGAGACAGCTGTATGGACTGTATCGTCTTATTTTCTATGCTCCTGATACTCTGGCGTTTGGGGGCCTTACAAACCCAGGGGGAGATACCGCCCCTCCCAGGGTCAGCTAATTCCTAAAGACAGGAAATGGCTGACTCGGGAGCATGCCTCTTCAGCGCAAGCCAGGCATCCCCTGTATCTAACCCCATACACCAAGCCCATGCTCTCCCTGCCCCAAGTCATCCCAACGAGGAACCGCCCAAAGTAGCCCAAAGCCTGCTGGAATGGTTCAGACTAGCCACTCCTAAACGGTTTACTTTGTTCCGCCTTGAAGCTTCCCGAGAGCCCCATAAGGCTGCAGGCCCTCCCCTCATTCCCACTTCTGCTCCCTGACCCAAGCCTGGTGCTTCCTCCTGTGCCCTGCGTGGCATGCTGGGCCTCGCGTTTCTAGGGAAACTGTGAGTCACACTGAACTCTCTTTCCCATGGCATGGGCTTCCCTGTGTTATCATTCAACCATAACTCGACACAGTGAATCCCGGGTTTAATTTAGAACACCCATTGTGTCAGTGAGGAAACTGAGCCTCAGAAAAGCACAGCGACTTGCCCAAGGCCTTTGAGTTCAGCTTCTTGTCCTGCTGGGCCCCAGGTTCTGGGTGAGCCAGGCAAGCCCTTCAGTGACTGGCCTGGATCGTGGCAGTTGGGGCCCCCAGATTGCCTGTTAAGAACAATGGTGAAGATGATGACTGTATGAAACAGGGATGATATTTCTGCTCCTTACTGTACCTGAAGAATGAGAGACGGACAGTCTGGGCTTTAGGAACACCAGAGGGGCTGGGGAGGGGGCTAAGGAGCTTGGCATGATGGCAAGTAAGGAGTCTGGCTCGTGGCAAGAGCATTCTGCTCACTCTTCCTCTCTTTCTCTTTCTCTCTCTCTTTCTCTATCTTTCAACTTTCAACTCCCTTCTCTTTCTCTCCTCTCTTCTCTCTCTCTTCTCTCCTCTCCTGTTTCCTCTCCCTCTCCTCTCCCTTTTCCTCTCCCTCTCCTCTTCTCTGTATTCTGTCTCTCTTCTTTCCTTTCTTCCCCTTACACACACACACACACACACACACACACACACACACACACACACACACACACACACCCCACACTCCCAGACACATATCCACACCCCCATACCTCCCATTCCTGCACACACACACTCTGGAAGTTTGGAGCAGCCCGGGTCCCTGCGGACAGAGTCAGATACACCTTTGGCTTCTGCCAATGGGAGCAGAAGGGAACGGGAAAGCCCCTCCTGTGACAGGAGCAGGGCAGACATCATGTCACCATGCAGCTCAGCAGCAGGGCTAATTATAACTTTGCTCATTCTCATCACTGCCCTCTCTTCTGCTCCCAGGCATCCAACCAAACGGTGGCATTTAAGCTCAGTGATGGGCAGTACAGCTGCTATCGTCTTGTGTGAAGGAAACAGCAGCCTTCCCCAGAACACAGGAAGCCTCTTGTGTGGCACTGCCTCCTTGGGGGCTCACTGCCTTCTCAGCGGCCTGTCCTGGGGCCTCTCCTGGCTTCCTGTGCTGCTGTGCTGACCAGGTGGGCAGGAGCTGATGGCTGCATGTCTAGTCGGGAGCTGGGAGGAAGGGCATGGAAGAGGCTTCCCTGCCGAAAATAGAGTCTACCATTAGGGCACCACTGGGCAGGGACCCAAGCCTGCCTGGCTCACACCCCACTTTGACGTGCTTCCTAGGACTGGTGCTTGGGGGCTGCCTCCATGACCCTGGGCATCTAGGTCTGAGATATCAGGACCCTCCTCTCCATCTTTCCTCTTTCCTTCCCTCGCCCCTGTAGTCCTTCTTTCCTGCAAACACTTACTGAGCAACTTACTGTGTGCCAGGCTCTATCCTAGACTCCTGGATACAGTTGTGAACAATTCAGACACAGTCCCTTCCTTCAGGGAGATCTGACACTCCTCCCCACACTGGCCTATCTGGAGGCCAGAAGAAGGGAGAGGTTTTTTTCTGTGGTCCCAGGAGCAACTGATCTGGAGAGAAGTAAGGGACTGTGGACTCAAAAGACTCAAGAATATGTCTTTGTGACCACAGTCTACAGAACATCTACGGTGGGCACTGGACTTGATCTCATTTACTGCTCCTAAAACTCTTACAAGAAGTGATTGCCTGTCCCCATTCGTAGGCGAGGGAACTGAAGCTCAGAGAAGCTGCGTGGCGTGGCTAAGTTTGCCCAGCACACATGCAGCTGGCCTGGAACTCAGAGCAAGGTCTTTGGGCATCATATCCCATGTGCTCTCTGAAGCTGTCTTGGAAGGGACCAGCCAGCTTGTCAAAAAAGGAGATAATTATGTGAAAAGCATTCGGCAAACAAAAAGACTTGAAAAGGAGAGGTGGCCATTTCAAGGCTGGACAAACCGGGGATCAGAGAAGAAAACAGACTTGTCCAAGATCACTTGGTGATTTAGTAGCAGATAAAGGACTGGCCCCAGGTTTGCTGGCTGCACACAGTGTTTTTTTCTCTGTACCTCCGAGCCTCACTTATTGACACTGTTTCCACATGAAGCTGAGACCGACAGGAAGGGCCATGAGCTGGCTTGGCAAAATCCCAGTAATGACTATAGTGATAGCAGGCACTTACCATATGTCAGGCACTGTCCCAGACACTTCATGCTCATGTCTATGGATTGCAGACAGTAAACTCAGAGGCAAATGACACGACTGTCTGTCCCCAATACCTGCAGCCAGCTGTCTCTTCTTCCTAAAGTGTCGCTTCCGCCTGTAAGCCTTCCCTCACACCTCCAGGCTGGGCCATGTGCCCCACACCTCCTCTGAGGACTGCTTCACTGTCACCTCCAGCAGACTACACTGCAATGGCCCTGTCAGCCTCTGCGTCCATGGCAGGCCAGTGCCTTAGCCTGCAGTTCCCAGGACGGGTGCAGGACAGAGAAGTGCTCAGTACATGCTGATAGAGTGAGCGAGTCATTCTGAGAACTCTGCTCACCTCCTTAATCTCATCTTCTCTTCTAGTATTAAATGCACACAGGAAGCATCGCCTCAAAGGGCTGTGAGGCCTGCACGGAATTGGCACATGCAGACAGGTGGCTCCCGGCTGGCACTGTTATTTCTCAGGAACTCCTCCCATGGCTATCCAGAGGAAACGAGGTGCAGTCGAGAATTGAACCTGGACCCCTCACTCCAAAACCACCGTGTCCTCATACACCGAGCAGGATAAATAATGCATACCTAGTCCGGACCCAGACAGGTGCTGGCGTGGCAGGCTATTGGGGGCATTTGGGCACTGCTGGAGATGGAACAGAATGAAACATTCTAGACAAGAACATCTCTTAGAGAAGGTGCAGTGTGTGGTTGTGAGGATGCGTTGAGAGGTTGGCAGGGTAGAATGAGACTCCACTAAGGACTTTCTCTAGGGCCATAAACAATTAAGATAATGTCCATTTGGCAGGGCTCCCTGTCCAGCGCTAGAAGGTGTTCTCACAGGGCGGAGCTCAAACTGTAGCCTTCTGCACCCTGGCCCTCAACATACTCAGCTTCACCTTTAACATAACAGGGAGCATCTGACCTGAGGGTCACCACCCAGCTGCCTAATTACCCTCTGCCCCTGGCAGGGAGTCAGTGCTCCCCCTCTGACCACAGGCCCTTATGCAGTCGCCAGGACCACTTCTGCCCCAGAGGACTCACTGTATGTCCCTGCCCTCCACAGCAGGGGTGTTGGCCTCAGGATTCAGTCTCTAGGCATGAGCCCCAGACGGGGTGTGTACTGTGCAGGCCGTCAGTGCAGCAAACCTTATTAGAGGCTCAGGTGCTCATCCTAACCCGTCCCAGAATAAATGGAAACTTCATGTGAGAAAAAACCAAAACAAAACAGTGAGCAAGTATGTGTAAAAATCTGTTTAACCGGTCTCAGTGGCTCAGCCTGTCATCACGGTGCTTTGGGAGGCCAAGGTGAGTGAACTGCCTGAGTCCGCGGGTTTGAGACCAGCCCAGGCAACTTGGCGAGACCTTGTCTCTACAATACATAAAAAAAATTAGCCAGATGTAGTAGCACACACCTGAGTTCTGGCTATTTGGAAGGCTGAAGCAGAAGGATCGCTGGAGCCCAGTGGGTCAACGCTGAGGTGGCCATGAATGTACCACTGTACTTCAGCCTGGGTGATGGAGTGACACACCAACTCAAAAAAAAAAAAAAAAAAAAAATCTCTGTTTGAAGGACTTGCAGATTCCCAGAAACCCAAAACGGCCCATGTATGGATTTGTCCCTACCCATGTGTCTGGATAGGGATAGGGGGTCTGGAAGTCAACAGAATCCATGTCCAGAGTCCTGGGCAAAATATACCTTCCTCTGGGAAGAGAGTGCCTCTTTGTCTCAGCATGGGGAGGGTGAAGAGGATGGGAGGAGCCCTCTGTATGTGGAACAGTGCTGATGTCTATGGTCATCTTCATTGTCATTATCATTGTCATGACCAGCATTTACTTAGTGCCTTGTAAGTGCCAGCCACCATTCTAAGCACTTTTCATATATTAACTCATTGGAGCCTCAAACAATGTGATGAGATACGTACTATCAATAACCGCATTTTAGAGAAAAGGAAACTGAGGCACAGAGAGGTTGCTAGTTCTACTGCTTTTCCTTGGTGGTCTGAGCTCTGGACCCTCCTTTGGAAGGCAGCAGGAGAGGATCAAGCCTAAGAATTGAGAAGGGGCCCCTCAGGGAGAGGCCACAGACTAGACGCAGGGTAGACAAAAGTTTAGAAACATGTGAGCCATGGAAGGACTAGACCTCTGGCCTGTGTCACTTGCATGGCTTTATGTTGTCTGGTATTTATTGTGCTTCCTTTCGGTTCTTCCTTAATATCCAGAAAACCAAGAGGTGATGGACCAAAGTTTCATGGGTGCCAGTGTGGTGGTGACAGCAGGAAGTACACAAGCCCCCCAGGGGTCTGGGGACAGAGAAGTGTGTCCCTTTCCACCAGCCTCTCCTCCTCACCCGAGCTTGTTCTTCTAGATGTCTCCTCTGCTCCTACCTACAAAGGCTTTGTATTTTCTCAACAATGGCATTCCTTCCCTCCAAGGCCAGGACTGGCCCCCCGAGGCTCCAGCCAGTTTCTCTCCTGCCCAGGACAGGAGGGTAATAACTCAGGGAGCTGAGCATTGGCCCTTTCCTGATCAGCCTCCCATGCATCCCAAGTCCTAGGTTGCTTCAGCCCTAGACGAGCCACCCCAGAATCCCGGGCAGAGAAAGTATCAGGACCCAGCTCGTGCCCACCGATGTCCCCTAGACCCTTTCACTTCTGCCTGCCAGCTCTGAAGCATTGTCCACGCAGAGGAAGATCCCCATTTCAGGATTTCCCCATCAGCAGTTTTTCCCTGCGTTGTGTGACCTGGGTAAAGAAAGGTGATTCTTCCCCAAAGCCTCTCTTTTCTATTTTGTACTGTGAGAAAAGCAGTATGGACTCCTAGGATTACAGAGAGTATTCGTGGGGTCAGTATATGCATCTACATGGCACCAGGCATGGTGTCTGTACCTTAACAGGGGTTGATTACACCCCATTCCAAGGTGCAGAGGGTGCTGTCTTGGACTGAAGAGTGGGTAGCTACGTGACTCTTCCTAAGGAAGGGGCTTAGCACAGTCCAGGGCAGCCCTACCCAGAGGTCCTGGACATGGGCTCCCTGGGGGTGGGGGCTGGGGTGATGAGGAGAGCACAGAGCACCAGCCCTATCTCCAAAGTGGGGAGAGAGGAATGAAGGGTCCAGGCTCGGAGCATGAATGTGCCCCTCTTTGGAGAGCCTCACCCGGTACCCCCATTTCCTCTATGACCTAATGTACCAACTCGGAGGTTAGACAGCATTCCAGCCTGAACCTGCCAGAAGTGTGATGCTAGAGGAGTCACCTAACTTCCCTGGCTACCTGGCTTATCATCTGCAAAACAGTGATGCAAATGGCAGCCTCTGAGCTCCTCTGAGGATAGGATAACACAGGAAAATGCTGCATATAAAGTCCTTAGCGTGAGGCCTGACACTTCAGAAGCACTTTATACATGGTAGCTGTGATTCTCAAGAAGATGGTCTGCCCATTTCAAAAGCAGAAAAAGTAAGCCTAGAGCAGGGAAGAAACCCCCTGAGGACGCACCAGGCAGCTTGCAGGTAGAATCAGTGGGGAACCAGAGTCTAGGCTCCAGGGCAGGGTCCCCCAGAGAAGGAGCCAGCGGGAGGCCAAGGCCAAGGCTGAGGCCACACCTACCTCCAGGTACACAACCCAGGGCATGACCAGCGTGGCTACGAGGAGGTCAGCTACCGCGAGGCTGACGATCAGGTAGTTGGTGGTGGTCTGCAGCGCCTTCTCGCGGGACACGGCCATGCACACCAGCACATTGCCAAAGACGATGATGACGATGAGTAGGGTGAGCAGTGTGGCGTAGTAGTTGTAATGGGGCCTGTCCGCCTTCCCCTCTGACCCGTTGAAGGGCCGGCTCCAGTTCTGCCTCTCCAGGTCATCATCGTACCAGGACAGATTCAGTGGATCCATCGTGGCGGCGGAGCCACTGGGTGGCCGGGCTCTGACCGGGACAGACGGACACAGCATGAGTGGGACGGCCTCCCCCAGGCACTTAGCAGCCAACCCTTGGCACTTAACGGCGAGAATTCTCCAACTCGGGATTTTCAGTTTTACCACTAAGAATTGTCTTGGCAGGGCTCAGTGGCTCAGCCTGTAATCCCAGCACTTTGAGAGGCCGAGGCAAGATTGCCTGAGCCCACAGGTTGGAGACCAGCCCGGACAAATAGGCAAGACCTCATCTCTACAATAAATTAAAAAATTAGCTGGGCATGGTAGCGGATGCCTGTAGTTCTAGCTACTTGGAAGGCTGAGGCAGAAGGATGGCCAGAGCCTAGCACCTTGATACTGGGGTGGCCGTGAACATGCCACTGCACTTCAGCCTGGGCAACACAGTGAGACTCCAACTCAAAAATAATAATAATAATTTTCTTAAAATGTTGGGCCTCCTGCCACTCTGCAGCTGGCCGGTTTTCATAGCAGGTAGATCACAGGAGCAAATATAATTTTTTTTTTTTTTGAATTGGAGTCTCACTCTGTCGCCCAGACTAGAGTCCAGTGGCCGATCCCGGCCACCACAGCCTCGACCTGCTGGGCTCCTGCGATCCTTCCGCCTCAGTCTTCCAAGTAGCTGGAACTATAGGCGCGCGCTAACACGCCCAGCTGATTTTTTTATTTATTGTAGAGATGAAGTCTCGCTGCCCAGGCAGGTCTCGAACCCGCGGCTCAGGCAATCCGCTCACCTCAGTCTCCCAAAGGCGCGAGATTACAGGCTGAGCCACTGAGCCCGGCTATAATTTTTTTTTTTTAAGTATAGTAAGATGAGCGTGAACAGAGCTGATCACTCATTCATTCATTTATTCAACAAATATGACTTGAATACAACCCACATGTACCACACACTTAAGGTAAGTTTGCTAGACCTTCCACCTCCCAGACATCGAAACAGAAATGAGCATCATTCATTCTTGAGTCTACAAATATTTATGAAGCATTGTTCTATACAGTCTAGAAATGGAGGCAGGAACAAAATACACATGGTTCCATGGCTCACATTCTAGGAAAAACAACAGCCAGTTAATTGACTAATTAAATCTACGGGTAGAAGGGACCAGGGGATGGAATGGGGAGAAAGATACATAACCTAGTTTAGGTATTCAAGGAGGCTTTTCAGAGGAAATGACAGACACCTAGGGGTATGTAGAAATTAGCCAGTTAAACACTTGGGAGTTCCAGGAAGGTCTAGACTGAGGCGTCCAACCTTTGAGCTTCCCTGGGTCACATTGAGTAAAGAGGAATTGTCTTGGGCCACATATAAATTATATAATATAGTTAGTGTATATAAGTAATTAGACTTCTCTTTTTACTTATATACACTGAGCATTGGCCCTTTTCCAACCAGCCTCCCATGCACCCCAACTCTTATTTGTTATATTTATTATAATGTTTAGAAAAATGAGAACAAAATGAAACTCATGGGAAATTTGACCTTGTTTTTGTAAAACTAATCTATCAATGTCTGTTTCAATGGAAGTGGTCACCATTCTTAGTGCATTCTCAAGGTGCTTGTCAGAAATGTTTGTCGCATTTTGTTCTTTGCATGGTTCATAATTGAAAACAGCTGCTCACAAATGTATATGCTGCCAAAAAGTGATGTCATGAATAAGGTATAACTGTGAACTTCAAAAATAGAATTACACATGGGGTCATGAAGAAAATAAATGCTAAAAAAAAATGCATGTTAAAATATTTTGTGGTCCAGGTGTGGTGGCTCAGCCTATAATCCCAACACTTTGGGAGGCCAAGGTGAGAGGATTGCCTGAGCCTGGGAGTTTGAGACAACTTGGGCAACTTGGTGAGACCTCGTCTCTACGATAAATCAAAAAATAAGCTGGGCAGGTGGTGTGCATCTATAGTTCCAGCTACTTGGAAGACTGAGGCGGAAGGATCAACTGAGCCCAGCAGGTTGAGGCTGTGGTGGTTATAAGCATGCCACTGCACTCCAGCCTGGGTGACAAGAATAAGACTCCAACAAAAAAAAAAAATTTGTGGAGCCTCATCACTAGCTGCCCTGGGCAGCATGGGGTCCGCAGGCTGTGGGTTGGACATGCCTTGTCTAGACATAGGAAGCCGCTCATGCAAGGCACAGAGTTAGAAAACAGGTGCCATGTGGAGGGCTTGAAAGAGATTCAGGATAGGCGGTGCAGAGAGAGACTTGCAAGAGTTGAATTTGAGGAGGTGGCAATTGGTGAGATCACAGAAAGTCACAGTAGGTGTTCAGATCTGCCCCTGAGGGCAGTGGTAACCACATGATCAGATGTGCCTCTTGCATACATGATTCTGACTGCAGGGTAGAGATTGGAGGGATCCAGAGCAGAATCAGGACACCAGCAGGGAGGCTGTAGCAGGGATCCAAGGAAGAGATGATGAGGTTCTGTGTGTGCATGCAAGTGAGAGCCCTGAGGCATGGGCATCCCATCCCAGGATGGAAGACTTCCTGAAGGAGGTATCTTCTGAGAGGAAGGAGGACTCAGTCTGGCAACTGAAGAGGAGGGTTGTTCCAGTTAGAGAGAACACAACATGATCCCAAACAGCAAATAATTCTGTTTGGCTAAAAACATAGGGCATGATGCCAAGTTGGGGAAAATTAAACTCAAGGGACATTCATAGGCCAGATTTTGTCTTGTCAGCTTAAAAGCCCCGAAGTGTTGGGCCCAGAGGAATGACCCCATTGGATTGGTGTTCTAGAAGGGTCACTGGCTGCTGTGGTGTTGAAGAGAACTCAACAGGGGATGAGATTGCAACTGTTTTCAGGTAAGCGAGGTGGTCACTGGAATCAAGTAATAGTTGTAATGGGGCAAGTTGCCATCCCTTCAGACCCTTTGAAGTGCCAGTGCCAGTACTGTCTCCCCAGATCATCATCGTATCAGGACAGATTCAGGGGATCCATCGGGATGGCAGAGCCACTGGGGGGCCAGACTCTGGGGATGAGGATGGAGAGACATGCTCAGAATCAGGAGCTAACTCGGGAGTTCATTTCTCGTGGTACTTAGTCATTGGATAGATGTGGGTGAAAGTGGGGATGGGGTGAGCAGGGAGACAAATAGTCAAGGAGAACTCTGGGATTTCTGCTGGAGCTTGGGAGGTGCCTGGTGGTGACACACTCACAGAGAAAAGGGAACGGAGGGGCGCAGAAGCAAGCTCGGGAGGCGTCGGGCATCGGTGAGCTTGACAGCCTGTGTTTTGGTTGTGATTGAAACATAATGCACGTATAATATGGTTGGCTTTTCTGCTAACAAGAGTGTTCCTACTTCACACAATAGAATTACCATTTATCAGCATTCTGAGGCATTCCATACAAAGCATGACTTCCCAGGGCTTTGCTACGCAAAACTGAAAACCAACAATTGAAGTTATTTGGAATGAATGCGATGCCATGTCCAAATCAGTGAGCAGAGCACACCTGATGCAATGGCCAGAGGGGCCCGTGGAGAAGGGTGTTTGCCCAACTCTGTACCCTCGTCGCTAGAGAGAAGTATGGATGATGTTCTACCCAGCACCAACACCCCGAATTTTCAGGGCAGGGGGTGAGAGGGGGGCAGCAAAGTGCCTAATTCCAAGTGGAGTGGCATAGAGTGCATGCAGTAAGTCTTCCAGTTCTAAGCAAGTGAGGCAGTCATCATATTGATGCTACATTCTGCAAAGCCAACTGGTGCCTCTTCCCATTTGGAGCACATAGCGGGAGACACATGTGTACGTATTGATCAGGTGCCCGGGGCTGCTTCTGACATTCATTTACTCGATCAGCATCTATTGAACCTGCTAGGCATAAAGCACTGTGCAAATCACTGTCTGGGGCCTGGTGACACGTGAGGCGCACTCGCTCCCCTCATCCTGGCCATCGCCTTCTGTCCCTCCCCTGCCTCCTTAGCCCTCTCCTGTTGAGCCAGTGGCATCTGCCTGGAACCCCAGCTCCCTGTCTCCTCTACTCCAACCCATTCTCTGTGCCTGACCAGACTTCTGCTTCTGTAGCACAATTCTGAGACTGCCTGTGATGCAGGCATCATACACTTGCAAAGGGTTTGATAGTTTGCTATGGTTTTTGTTGTTGTTGTTGTTTTGGATATACTATCATTTATCCTTAAAACAGCCTTCTGAGGCTTTTAATTATCATTCCCACTTTTCTTTTCTTCTTTTTTCTTTTGTGAGTTAGAGTCTCACTCTGTTGCCCAAGCTGGAGTGCAGTGGCATGCTCACAGCCACTGCAGCCTCGACCTGCTGGGTTCAGGCGATCCTTCTGCC